TTTTCAGTTCCGATACCAAGTTTAGAAAACTCACACGATGGCTCCTCTTTAAACACGACTTCGAATTTATAAGCAGCTTTGTCCACTAGAAACGAGTTTTCTCTCTCCAAGATTAGTAGGTGTCGTGCCCACTAACAACGCCAGTTTGGTCCATCTGCCTGTAAGGCCACTATCAACAAAGGTCCATACAGTCTAGGAACTGTCATGTAAACTTAAGATGCTCTAATTTAACTTAGAGATATTGTATCTTAAGTTAACTTTTAATGAATTTTAGTACGGAAAATTGTAGAACAAAGAATGCATGAATGTCTTTGAGAAGGTTGATTTGGAATACTACTTTGCTCGTTGGTTCCACAGAGCAAACGCGAGAACCAGTAAAGCTGTCTATTAGTACAGCTTAAAGTGAGGCAGTGGCTGAGGATAGCTGAATGTCACTGTCTCTAGGTTCTTCACATTCTTTCGAAAGTGTTAGCGCTATTTTAGGCATGTGGCAAATTCTAAACAACAACAGTTTCATGAACGCTTGATTATTTTTCTTGTATGCTAACGAAAAATGAAGAACAATGATTTTTCTGCCTTTAGCTTAGTAATGCTGGATTTTATGTGTCATAAATTTGATCTTTGCTTAAAACGTTGAACGTGAAGTTTTAAACTTATTTTGTAGATCAGCGTAATCTGGGCATGTCGATGAGGGTAAAGAAAAGCACTCTGGAAGATGTGAAGGCCAGATTTGCATTGAAAAGGCAGGAAGCAGAGGAGAAGAAGAAAACCTATGATATTGAAGAACGAATGAAGGAAATAATAGAAGAGGTTAATTGGTTAAAGCCGAAACCTTGCATTTCTTATATTGTTGATTCAGGAACAAAGATTGGCTGAATACCGTAAGCAGAAAAAGCAGGAGCACAAGAAGAGAAAACAGGATGAAACCGAACAAGCGGATCCCGAAATTGCTGCAGTCATGGGCTTTTCCGGTTTCAGCACATCTAAAAAATAAATGTTTTTGTTTGTAAATTGAACATGTATATTATGTTTTGCATCTGTGTCATGTCGTGAATAAAATTCATCCATTCCTCAGTTTTGCTTTATTTTGAATCAGCTATCGACTGCGTCGTACTTTCTATCCAAGATAGATACTCGTTTGTCTTATTTGCATGCATGAATGTCGTTTAGAATGAAGACGTCCTCAGTTGCTATCCTCGTTCTGTTGTCCGTTCTGTGTTCTGGTGAAAATGGTCGACGGAGCAGCAGTTTGGTAAGAAGCTGTTTGTCTACTGCCTATTCTATTATAGCTACTCCAATTTCGTCTTGTTTTGTAGACTTTGGAAGAGAAGGTAAGCAACCTTCAGGAGTGGATCAGTCGAAGACCAGTAATCCATCTGAACCATGAAAAGTTCAGACAGTACGTGCGAATGTCGCCTCGTAACTATTCGGTAGTGCTGATGCTCACAGCTCTGTCCGCCAAGCAGAACTGCTATCACTGCCTGTACGTAGTCGTGGATTTGTATTTGTTGGCATCATGGTTATTCTTGGACCGTTCATTTGATCTTAGCAGCATTTTTTCTATATCATGTTTTACTGGTACAGTTTAAATGCGGTGGTAGGCTGCTTTGCACCTTCGTGTTTAGAGCAAAAGTTATAGTCACTCCTATAAAGCAGGAACTGCCGTAAGTTCACTCAGTACAGTCTAGTAATTGATCTTGAGAGCAGAGTGCCATAAGCATCACCTTGACTGGTTAAAAGCTTCTGTGGATTTAAATCAGAGTAATATGGACTGTTGTACTGCTACTTTCTAGACGGAGGATCGGCTAAAATTACTGAACATTCTTACAGCGGTTATTTTTGAGTACTTAAGCTGGTTATAATAGCTGATTATGTTGATCTACGCTAGAAGATTACTCTTAATACAGAAACAAAGAACAAATTTTATGACTGACGCATGTTAATTAACGTTACACAATGACGGTTGACATTATTTGTGGTACTTTCCTTGTGACACCCAGCAGTTCATGATACAGCATTGTTCGCCTTCTCTGCCCAGTCAGCAGCTCTATACTTGATGCTAACGGCGACAGCGACCCAACTACTTTGCAAGTACTGTCTGTCTGCCGTATCCTTCATGCCCATCTGGCTCACTCACTCCGATATTTTCATTTAATGTGCATTTTGTTATTGGGTACAGTCTACTGTTTTTTTTCGACGATATCAGTTTTAGCTGCGATATACTCTTGCAAGAGTTTATTTAAAGTTATTTTGACGCAACACCTTCTATTGGTGTATTGTGACTGAACGGACCGTAGCAGTTGGCCATCGATCCCATAGCTTGTTTCACGGGATTCTGTCATAGTCTTTCTTCAGGTTTATAAAGCTCATGTTATCCTGGGTGAGAGAGCATCCATCGTGAACGTGCCCTCTAGGACTCTAAAGCTGCCATTCTTCGCATCTTAGAGGCTGGTTAGAATGCCTTATTTGCCATCTGGAAATTCGACTCCAGCACATCATAGAACTTTCCCTACGAATCAGCTTTCGCTGCCGCCTTGCTCACTTATTCTTGCCGCATTCGAGTTGACCGTTTTTTTGCTTCCAAACGACTTCTTGAGTGCTTCGTTCGTCTCACTGACAGCCATTTGAACCTGTGAATACCAATAAGTTCGTTTATGACCTCCAGGCAACAGACCAACCCAATACGAACCGCAGCATTGGGCGACAGTCCCCAGTAAACTGCTCTTAAATTGGTGTCGTTCGGATTCCGCATCAGCGGTCGTCAATGGCATCTGTTCGAACCGTTATGCGATATTGTTTCAAAGTTTCCATTATAAATTATAACGGTGCCCGTTTGATTCTCTGGTTGCTTCTGCTGTCAGGTTGTTGCTTGGTGCTCCATCGCTTACACGGGAAGGTTCCAGCAACAAGCCGATGATCATTTGACAGCTCTGCCCCTCTCTTAACTGCAACATTCATTACATTGCGTCACAAGTCAGACGATACGATTATCAGATAGACTATTTTTGCAAAATCTTTCCTTTTTAAAGCATACTGATGAACGTCTCGATGCTCGTGGTGGGTGCTCATAACAGACAGTCTGTTGTTTCTACTAAATCTCAATGACTTCATTCCATTATCGTTGAGGTTGCTAGGGCCGTCCTTTGCAAACACGCCTTTCCAGTTTTTGTTTTAGCTCTGATATACGCCTTGTAATTGACTATGAAATTTGTAGATTCGGAGCGTTGTACTGAGCAACTTATACTTCCTTGAAGGACTCAGATTCTTCTTGTGAATTTGATGCATAGACCTGTGGCAAGGTCATGGCTTTAGCCTCAGTTGGTGGATCTCCATTCTTTCGTTAACAATCTTTCATTCAATAATTTTGTTAGTCAAATTGGTTTCTACCAGAACATTAACACCGGATTTAGCGCAGGTCGTCAATTCGACTCCTGAGTAGAATAGGATGCACGCGACATTTCAAAATTTCGGAGCTCTGGCGCTTGATTGACGATTATCCAACTGTATCGAATCAACAGCTAGCTCCTGCTCTTTCTTTCTTAGCGGGGAGATGGTCTAATTACCGACTTGAGCTTCTACGCTCGATATCGTAACCATCGAATTTCATCACTGCTATAATGGTATATCTCCATTCAGTAGTCTTTACTTACTTTAACGATCACATATGTATATTACTTCTATAGACGTTGTTTTAGAATGGCTAAGGACGAATTTGAAATCGTTGCGAATTCCTATCGATATGCTTACCTGCATGCCAAGGAACTGTATTTCACGTTGGCGGACTTCGACGAGGCGCCCGAAGTGTTCCGAGCGGTAGACAACATCGAGTTTTATTCTTAGCCCCATCGATATCTTCTTAATTATTCATTTAGCTGAGCATCCGTTCCGTACCAGTGATAATTCATTTCCCTCCTCAAGGCAGTCGTAAGACTCCGAATACCATGGACATATCGAGGTAGAATTGAAAATTTTTTGTATAAAAGGGCAAGATATATTCGTTCGAAATTACTTTGCATTTATATGTTTGCAATGTTTCTGTTGAACTGCATTTTGTAAATATATTTACAAACTATTAGTAACGGATGAACTCCACACGAGACAGGTCTCGTAGCTATGGATATTTGCTCTGTTTGTTTTATAACGTATAAAACTTGGAAGCCGTTGCATTTTCGTGCGGATCACTATTTCATCAGTATGGGATTATTACCCGCTTCTTTTATTGGATTCAGTTTTGATGTAAAGAAGATATCATTTTTAAAAGCAGTGTTTAGCTTGTGTAAAATCGATGATTTGTAGATCTGCTACCTTCGCAAAGATTCTGATTCTTGTTTATCCACCTCGGATGGACGAAAGCCAGCTGATCAACCAATATTGTAACTCTTGAACTTCGAATCGTGAACGCAGCGTTTTTTCTACCGGATTCCCGTGACTATGACAAAAGTAGTTTGCCTCAGTTACCCTGCATAGTACCTGATATACTCTGCGTGAATGCATGAAGAGTAATAGAAAGTTTGGATACCCTTCATATGAACGGCTTACATGCTCTTCTATCATCGACCCATCTGACGAAGTAGCAATGGCATGGTCCATTGAGGTTCAGGAATCGCATCCAGTAAGCTATGCGTTCGAATTTGGCGTATATTAGGCGACTTTCGATCTTCTGAAATAAATATATAAATTCACTTTAGTAGGAAAAATGGAATAGACTATAATTGCTTTTATGCATACCTGGCTGATGGCATTGTGATGAATTGCAGCTTCACACGAATGAAATGGGTGTAAATGGGAGAAAATGAATGATTAATATCATTGGAGTTTAGGAGAGATCGACACATTTGACCTCTGGCGTACTGTAGCTTTCCTTTTCCAGCGATGTGTTTGCTTTGTTATTTTTATGCATTTTTAAACTTTATGCGGTAAAAAGTTTTTAATTTGAGCTGGTTTTTTTTCTCGTTGTTGGTTAAGTGGTCTTTCAGCTCTTAAAGACTGTCTTGAAAAACAACAGGGAGAGGGTGTTCTCTACTTCAGAATGCCACTTCAAGACGATTATATACTTCAACGTCTACTTCGTTACTCTCTTGTTTTACGCATTTATTTAGAATGGGCTTCGGTGCAGAGGTAATTGCGAAGTGGATATTGGACCGAACGGAAATCTCGGTATGAAATAGTAGCTGGTATTGACTTGTTTTCCTTTTTCTCGGTTCATTACAGATTCGCGTTCTTCGACCCCCGAACTACTCTGGACCTGCTGCTTTGCTTTTGCTGCTGATCTTGATTGGCGGTCTGATGTACGTCAAACGGAACAATCTTGACTTTTTACGAAATACTACTGCTTGGGGAATTCTGGCATTGGTGAGCTTGTTTTCTTCCTTTGTTGCTGTTGTTTTTTTATCTTTTTGCCATCTCTCGGATCAGTAGATGGAAAATGCGTACTGTAATAAATGTGCAAAAAGGCTTGGCGATAGGTTTTTGTCATTTATGTTCTGAACTTCATAAGGATAAAGAGTTTAACAGCTCAGGTGAAACGAAAGCTCTAAACGTTGCTGGACAGACAACACCTTTCGACTGTTTGAACCATATAAAGATTGGAAAAATTTCGTAACGTTCTGTGCCGTGCCATCTTCCATCTGAAATAACGAATAGCGCTTACTGTCACTGTTGTTCATGTGATATCACATCTAATGCGTTAATAATGTGACTAAGAAAAAAGGAATTAGACTTTGTAACAGTTGGAATAGCGGCTTTACGCTTTCATGATTGGGCCATTTCTGGCTTTTTTTCATGAAGTTAATGGTATGGCACTGATCTCTGTTTCGCTTCATTTTCTAATAGTGTAGTGTTTTAAAGGCAGTAGGTATTTGGTCAGCGTAGTGACTAGTTTCCAGTTTCCTTCTAATTGATTTCTGCTCAATTTTCTTCCTAGAAAAAGAAAGATTAACGAAGTGACAAGAGCTCTAACCCGAGACCTCTTGGATTTGAGTCTAACGCTCCTCCAACTGAGCATCCCCGCTCTATAGTGTTGAACTCACTGATCGTCTGGTCGAATCAGAAATCGCCTGCGGTGCTTCTCGTAATGTTTATGCACAATGTCTCGAATTAATTTTGTTGACGGCCTGTTAACAACTATTTGATCATTCATTTGAATTCTCAACTTTTTTACATTCATTTCCATGTGCTATTCTCCAACGTTCTTCATTGCCAGTTGATTGTGGCTGTTGGTGGTAGCAGTCAAACCATTGTTTTACCAACTGCAGTAACAACTATCGATGCTATATGAGAGTCGAAATTTCTCGTCACATTTGATATATTCTGTTGTGTTACGTGTGTGTTTTGTTTATTAATGACGCATTCGTTCATTCTTTCCTCACTTCTAAATGCTTTGGAAGAAATATAAGCGCGTCATAGCTCCATGATATGTTAGCCATGCAGCACATGGCAGCTCGCATTTCGCTTTTCTAGTTCGTTATGTTAATTTATTGCATATTCAACAACAGTTTTCAAAACAACAGTTTTCTGGAAATTTTTTAATGACCGTTCTAGAAGCTTCAGTTGGTCCAATCTCGTTCTCATTGATTTCAAAATAAGACCCTTTGCAGACATGACCATTGATGTTGTTCGCTCAGTTTTTAGCCGATAATCTTCCAGATCGATAGTCAAGTTTTGGTCTTGTTATTTTTCCACGTTTGTATTTTCTTCGGTTTTATTTTTCATTTTCTTTTCTTTTATTCTTTACCTCTGTTACTACCAGCGATATTTTGTGGGACGGGTGTTCATTATGATTTTTTGCAACATAAAATGATTATTCGTAGCACTCGTAAGTGAATGAAACAGGATTTGAAAAATTGTGAAA